GCGGCGGCGGCGCCGGGGGGGGGCGGGAGGTAGAGCGGGAGCGGCGGCGGTAGCGGAAGCGGTAACTGGGCAGACGGAGGATGGCCGAGGGGCCGCTCCCGCCACTGCCGCCCGCCCCCCCGCCGGCCTTGAGCAGGTCCGAGCGAGACTGGCAGTGCGCCTCGCGGCTGCGCTCGATGTACATGTTGACGGCCAGCACGCCGATCACCTCGGCCAGGATGAACGACAGCCCGCCGAAGTAGAAGGACCAGCCGTACGAGTAGTGGTTCTTCTTCTCCTCGTCCCGCTTCGGGCCCGGCTCGCCCGCGTTGGCCGAGATGTACACGATCACGCCGATGATGTTGCTCAGGCCTGGGCAGGGACGGGCAGACGGGAGCCTCGAGGCCACCCCCGGTCCCGCCCGTCCCCCGCACTGACCACCCACGCTGGCCCGGGCCCCGCTCCTGCTGGCCCAGGCCCTGGCTGGGGAGGGACTTAGATCCTCTGGGACCCGGTTTGGTTTAACCCAGCCCCAGTTGGTTTAACCTCTGCGCCATCCCACGGTGGCCTAGGCCCCGCCCCCAGGTGGCCTAGTTCCCCACCCCATCTCCACAGGTCCACTCCCAGCCCTGGAGTAGATCAACTCCAGCTGGTCCCGGTCCTGCCCCGCCACTGGTCTAGCTCCACGCCCCCGGTGGTGCAGGCCGCAAAAGGGTGGCCCAAATGCAAATCATCCACCTGATCCAGGCTCCGCCCCCTGCTGGCCTTAAGTTCCACCCCAAGCGGCCTAGGCCCCGTTACTAGCCAGCCCAGGTCCAGCTTCCGCTGGCCTAAACCTAACCCTGACTGGTACAAATTTTGTCCTAAGTGGTCTAGGACCTTCAGCTCCCCATTGGTCTATATTCCACCTCGATGTCTAGGCCCTGCCCCAAAAGGGCCAGACACATCCCTAGAAGGTCCAGGCTGTGTCTGGCCCAAACCGGTCCCAGAGGGTCTAAGTCCCTCCCCAGCTGGCCCGGCCCACCCTCTCTCCAAGGATCTAGACTCTGCCCTAGAGGCCTAAGCCCCACCCTCTGCTAGTCCAGGCCCCGCCTCCACTGGTCCAAACTGCCCCCCACAAATCCAGGCCTTGTTCTGCTTGCTCTAAATCCACCCTGAAGCTTTTAAAGTCCAGGCTTTCCCCAGTCCCACTCTTTTGAACTGTTACTGACATTCCCATTCTGAGTCGCTGAACCCTGCCCATTGAGAGCTCATATCGTCCAGCCTGGCACGTAACCTAGATCCTCCCATGCGGGTCGAAAACTCATTCATATTCTAGACCCGCCCCCTGCGAGTCTGGGCCGTACTCTTCCTCCAACCAAGGCTGGCTAGTCTGCCTTTCAGGATCCATCCCAAAGCACACTTTGCCCTTTGCATATTCGATCCCCTCCTCGGTATTCCACTCCTTCAAAAAGTTCTGCCCCCGGGAACTTCCGAGCACTTCTCAGGGTAGAAAGGACGTTGTTCCTTAATGACATGTCTCTTAAGTGAGTGGTCTGGACCCTGCTCTCTGCTAATCTAGGCCCCAGCTCTTGAGGGGTCCAGTCCCAGGTTCTGGGATTGATCCTGTCCCTGGGATCAGCCCGGCTGACCCTCTGTACCCTTAATGGAGTAACTCTCCGCCTTGAATTCCGCAGGCACCCCTTCTTTACCGATCTCTCCTCCTTAAAATAGCAACGGCCCCAGACCCATCCAGTCTGGCTGGCCCGGCCCCTTCAGTTCCCGCTTCCCCTCCCTGGACAGTTCCCCAGGACTGTCCTTTCTTAGGTCCACCAGGCCCTATCCTTAAAGCAGCCTCCTTCTGCTCCGCCTCCAAATCTCTCTCCCCGTCTCCTGGCCCCGCCCCGCCCCCTGCCCCGCCTCTCCATCTTTAAACCAATTGACTCGAGAGCCCCCGATAAGCTCCTCCTCTTCCGTCTCCTGGATCCTGAGCTTAGGAACCGAGTTGACGCTCCAGACACCTATCGGTCTGGCTCGCTCTGCGGTCGA